TTTCTTGATGTGTCCAACCTCTCCACACTCACAGCACTTTCTTCCTTCACCACGGCCTGTTCCCGTATTTGTTTGCTGATCGACTGTTGCAGGTGTTGTGCTCCTGCAGTAACTAGCAGTATTCCCCTTTTTCATGCACTTCGTGTAGACAAAACAGTCACCTGGATGATGACGGTTGCACTGGTTGCACCATGAAGACTTTGGCTGCGTAGGTACTGCTGTCGTGGCTGCATAATTGGTTGCCACTTCTTGTCTTTTCTCAGATGATTGTTTGGGATTCTTCCTATTAAACTTGTGCTTGTTTGTTCCAGATTTGGGAGACTCAGCCTTTGAGACCACTTCTATTCCTTGGATCTCTGTGAGGGTTAGCTGATGAGCTATTCTTTTGGTGTTGTCATAGGTCGTAGGCTTTGATGAGATCACCATGCCTTTAATTTGAAATGCTAAACCCCAGATATATCGCTCAATTTTCTTATATTCAGGGGTTACAAGTGCTGGACACATTACTGCAAGATCATTAAAACTAGCGGTATAAGCTTTTATCTCTAAACCCTTCATGGTTAGGGTCCACAATTCTTGTTATCTCCTCCCTAGGACAATACTCTTCTACTAGCATCATTTTTAGCTCTTCCCATTTCATGGAATTTGCAATATCAATTCCCATTGCATTCACATGGCTGTTCCACCATGTAAGTGTTGCATCAGCGAAAGTACATGCTGCAAACCGTACTTTACAATCATCTGGACAGAAGCTTATTGAAAGACGGACTCTGTCTTTTCTATCCACCTAGTCAAATTAACTACCCCTTCATTTCCATGAAAGCTCTTTGGCCTGTAATTCATAAAATATTTGTAGGTACACGTTCTAGCGGTCCCTACATGGCCTTCATTTCTAACTCCATCTCTTGTGACATTAGATAGAGCCGCAACAATTCTTTGAGCTATGATTTCTTCCAGTTGTGTTGTACTTATTGGGGGGTTTGGTTCTGGTGGTTGTTGTTGTGGTGCTGATGGTCGGTTAGGGTTTAGCCGATCACTACTTTCTTCTAGGCATTTTGTTTTAGTTCCTATTATAAATAATAAGAATTTTATAAGTTTTATGAATAATTAGTCATTTACTACACGAGTACTAAATACTTCAATTATTCTTCAAAGTGTAAAACATAATGGATAACACAATGATTACTGTAATATATGCTTCATATTATTACCAGCGGTTACATCAGTTTATTTAGGTTTATAAGAGAAAAGTTTCTATAAACATTGCAAAATTTGCAAGGTTTTCTACATCCTTGCTATAAACTTTCCTCTTTTCGCCTTAACTAGTCTGATTTCTCTATTTACACAACCACTAGTTTTAGCTTATCTACCAGAAACCTAAGTGATGACCTAGCACGTCAGTGACATTAACCACTTGCTCCTCAAGTGCTTGAGTTCTCTGCTCAAGACTTCCCGTGCGTTCTTCATTTCTTGAGGTTTGATTGTAGAGCTCTAACTCTGCAATCCTTGCATCGTGAGTAATCATGTCGTTATAAGCGAAATTTATACGATGATGGACATCCATCACCGATTCCTGATCTCGCGTCCTTTGTCCTTCCCTTCGACAATTTCCATCTTATCTTCAATTTTCACACTTTTCTCAAACAATTGAGATAAAGTGTTAACTTCAGAAGAATGTGGGAGATGTGGTCGAGATGATTGACCAGTCTCATACATCTTAGCAGCTCTTTCTTCCGCCACCCACCTATCAACGGTTTGTGCGATCCGTGCAGGTTCATCTTGAACTCTATGACTTCCTGAAGATGTCGCCTTCTGATTCTTCTTAATCTTTTGCCATATCGGTATGGATTTACGTGCCGTGCGTTTCATTTTTGCTCCTCCTGGAACTTTACGGTAAAGAGTGTTCAGTGGTGGTAAAGATGATGCCACCGATTCTGTCTCCTCCATTGGTTCGCTCTCTTCCCATTCGTTGGAGGGTAAAGGTGCTCCATCGTCAGAAGGTATTGGATGAAAGGTGGTTGGATTTATAGGGTAGTAAGGATCGCCTACCATCATAGGGAATGAAACTTCCTCTTCTTCATCCGTATCCTCGATGATTATCCATTCTCGTGAATGTGCCATGTCGAATTCCTATACATTTTGGATCACCAAGAGTTTTAGTCTATCAAATATTACTCCCAAATTAAATAGTTCATATGATCTGATCATAATAAAATGTAGTTGCGCACCTACACCTAGTTGTGATAGGATATATGCACATATAAACTTTAGTTGGAATATTTGATCTAAATCCTTGAGATCAAAAACATTCCGGGTATTAAGGTGTATTCTCATCGCGGGTCTGAGTCTTTATATATGACTCTATATTCTTATTTATTGTATTCACGCTTTAACTATTGTTTGTTACTTCAGGTCTATCTGATAAGGCTCCGGCCAGTCAGGACAGTCGAAAGGGCAGGATCATTTTAGCATATAGCCGTTCTGGAATCCAGCAACCCAAATCGACATGTCTATCCTTGTCACCGCTCCCGTAAGTAGTCCTTCAGTAGAATAATTAATAATACTTTTTATTGTAGGCTAAGGGATATACCTAAACCTAATAGAGTAAGCCCTAAACTATAGACGTGCTTTCCTAAGAAAGTACTAGTTCACTATAGTTAATAGCTCTGATACCAATTTCTGTCACACCCCCAGCCATCGGCGGAAACACCGGGTGGTGTAACGTCATTCTTCGTATCACAGTTATATAACATACATTGAACAGTACTAAAGAAAATACATACCTTTATTGATAACTGAAAGTTACATAACTGTTTTCTAGGACCTATTACATAATATCCGACTATGGCATACTTCTTAATGAACAGAAAGGTAATAGTAAAACTTCTTCTGTTCGAATACATACCAGCTTTTCAAGTTCCTGAAAACACATGCATTTTAAAATACGTCAACATAAAGTTGGTGAGTCCACAGGTTTTGACTCCATCGTTCAAAAGTATAGTTTTGAAAGTATCATTTTGACTCTCCAACATTTAGTATGTATATTAGGTATAATAGTTTACTTATCAATTAAGTGTTATACCTAAACATTCCTTAACCCTAAGGTATAAGTAGGGGGAAACTTATACTTAACATTAATACTTGTATACGACAAAGTATAATGTTTCTAACAATTTGCTACCATGAGCCTGTAACCGCTGCTATGACATAATACCTCTGATAAAACACACTCATGATTTACCATGAGAAACAACACACTCATGATTTACCATGAGAAACAACACCGTACGCTTCATCGACGCCGGAACAATAACAAGTAAAAGGATAGTTCATCACTCGCTTTTGGTTGACTGTAGCTAACAGTCACAAGTGGGGTGGTCAACCCGTATACTAATTATACACGACTTCCTCGCTCACACGGGATTAACGGTTACAGTTCAGAGGATTTCCGCTAAGATCCCCAATCTTAGTTGATGAATACAATTACTCATGTAGACTTCGACGACTTCCTATAGCTCTAACAACAAAAGCATTTTCATGTCTAAAACCCTAAGTTACTAGACTATGCTTTTAAACATTACTCCTAACTTCATAACATTTAGGCAGTATAACAGCTATAACTTGAAGTAAAACCAGGATTTATCTTGACATAAAACCAATAACAACAACAACATATAACATACCAAGTTTTATCTTGTCATAAAACTAACAATAACAACATAACATACCAAGTTTTATCTTGACATAAAACCAATAATAGCAACATACTTTATAAATTAACATATAGAACTTCCGAATATAACTTCGGAACTATATCGCACACAACATATATATAGAATCCTAAGTATAACTCAAGATCTACATTAGTATAATAACATGCTGACAAGTTGATAATAGTTGTATATATTCAAAATATTATATTTAGAACAACTATACTCCGACTATTATAACTATATACTATCATATAGACATAATAGTAATGTATATACAATATTTAGCATGCGTTTTCCCCCAAAATATTAGAAAGTGGGGCCGTGAAACTCACCCTAGTAGCGTGATTTTATGTAATCTAAGCAGAAACGGTCAGCGTACGAGGTCGTCGGGGCTCGGGATGCAAGATGGCTTCAGCAAAGGAGAGAGGAGAAAGAAGTTTAGGTGTAAGAATGGCTGAAGTCGGACCTGCTATTTATAGTAAGGATTTTGGACCCTCACATCGTTAGTTTTATAAGGCTCACGTCGTGAGTTTGGATCTTATCCCCATAGACTTTCCATTTGCGTCCCTAGCTTCGGAAGGTGGCCATGTGACTCCTCACGTCGTGAGATATCCTTGCTCACGTCGTGAGTTTGGATCTTATCCCCTCGCAGCCTCGTCACACACCTTCTAGATTCCGAGATGTGGCAAAATGACTCCTCACGTCGTGAGTTTCTGTGCTCACGTCGTGAGCTCAGTCAAATTAGGGTTTCTGACAGCTGAATCTTCGGAAGGTCGTAACTTTCACATACGAACTCCGTTTTTGACGTTCTTTATATGCACGCGTAGGTATTTACAAGTACTACAAGTTTCTTTTTAGACTCCAATAGCTAATTCTAAGTATATTTTAAATTCCTCTTATTATAGAGATTTATAGTGTTCGGTTTATCATAACTTCTTTATGCGAAGTCAGATTCAGACGTTCTTTGTATCTTTGGAATCGTATGGACGTATACTTTTAGTTGTATCATAAAGAAAGTTCATATTTGTATTAGAATTTATCATGAACTACATAGCACTCTTATCACATTACTAGTTTAACAAAATCACATTACATGATTGGCATAATCACATGTGATTGTTTATTGACCTATTTTGACTAGTGTTACATATTCCACCACACCTACTCTGTATTTCATGTTACTGACTTCGATCATAACTTCTTCATTAATCCATGTTCTTCTTGTTGTTAGGATCCCAACCTTCCCCATGGAATAGTCCCTTCTACTTGAGATTGAATCAAATGAGTTTATAACCTTACCGAACCTGCTTGCAATAAGTGAAAATTATCTTCATCCCAAAACTCCAAGGGAACACCAAGAATCTTCAGCCAAGGAATTCTTCCGTATCGAACATCATGTTGATCAGATCTCCCCAACCATTTGAACCAATCTTTCCATCGACTTTCATCTTCCAGGAATTCATTTGCACGTTTGGAGCACTTAAAGTCAATAGCAATTCTTAAACCCCCTAGATATTTGGTTTCTTCCGATATTATTCCCAGGGCATGGAGTGTACCCATATGGTCAAGACTGTGAGCTTCACCAATTAGGATAGATTTCTTTCTTAGCCATCCACTCATACTAGTGTTAGAGTTTAGTGTGATAGAGGGGGTATAGTTACTCTCTTCCTGATTTTTTGTCCAGCCACGACCTAAGCAAATGTACTGTTATTTGTAATACATGATTTGAGAGGAGAGATTTCATTCATGTGTGGATTCCTCCAGGTTTTGGAGCTTCGTTGGTATTGGTTGACCTTTTCCTTTCTATGATGCTTGGATATGTTAACATCGAGTACCATTTCTTTGCATTTGATACCTTGTAATCTTGTCTCCAATACCTTGGCGTCGTCTACCCCCATGAATCTGATGAATGCGTAGTTCTTCTTCCGATAATCTTTCTTCCACCCAAAATACACATCAACCACTTTTCCAAATCTTGAGAAGGGTCTCCGCAACTCCTCTTTTTTGGTATAATCTGGAAATCCCGCTACAAAATAGTTTGTGAGGGCATTGGATTGTTGTGTTCTGACATTTGCTTTCCTCCGGCGGACCTCCGCCCACTCGCCGGTGGGTCGGTGACCATCCATCTCCCAGGCCTTAGTTATTTTTTGTGTTCCGTAATATGTACATGTGGTGCAAAAAAGTCACCCACCACCTACTTTTGATAAAGTTGGCAACAAAGAATTGAAATAAGAAATACAAGTGGTGATTGAGAACTTATATAGTGAGATACAAAGAATATAGTGTGATACAAAGAAGGGCTAATTCCATAAAAGTTCTTAAGTTTTTTTGAAATATTCAGTTTTACCCTTTTTTCATAATTAGTGTTTAATTATGTCGGAACTTTACGCAAATTTTTGCGTTTTTACCCTTTTAGCCGGTTACCCAGTCATATGTAGGTAACTTGAACAGGTGGCGTGCCACTGAGCCTCTGATTGAGACTTCTTCTGCTGACTAGGCTGACTCTTCCCTTGAATAAAAAACAATCCGGAATCAAAGTAAAACGTAGTCCACGAAATTCGAAACAGGTACACCCGATGCAACAACCAAAGGCCTTAACGCTAGGCTAAGAGAATTTCTACGGTTTTTAGTCCAACACATTGAATATAATAATTATAGTTATAATTATAATTTTTATTATTATTATAAAAAAAGAAAACATTTTTGTGCATGCAACTAGATGGTGTACCAAGCAATTTATTTATTTATTTTTTCTCTTGTAGCCATCGAGTAGCACAACCAAAAAAATAAAAGGTTTTTTTTTGGGTAATTTATTAACTAAAACATACAAAAAAAATGATTGTTTGTGTTTGTTTACTTTGAATTTGTGAATGAGAAATACAAGTTTCCTATCTTCATAGGAATCAATGGGAGAATGGAAAATTGCTCAAATGGGCTGTTGGGCGTAATCGTAAGAAACACTTTTCATTTCATCCCTGTAGTCTATTTTTTAATGTATAAAATTTATCTTTTTATGTATGAAATTCGTGTTTAAATGTATACAAACGTTTTCAAATGTATGTATACATTTTTTATAAATGCATAGAAGCAATTTATTATGTATTTCTATATTTTTTAAAAACACTTTAAAACATTTATAAAATTGTTTTTATATGTATAAAAACGTATTTATGTATATAAAAACTTATTTAAAAAAATATATTTATACATAATAATAATCAAACTAATTAAAATTATCAATATAAAACTAAAGATAATAATAATAATAAGCATTTTATGGATTTGTACACAATGGTTAGAAAGATAAGCAGAGAAATGTTCTTAGCCCATTGGTAAGGCGCTTTGTTGGTGCTAGTTTTGTCCCTAGTTCGAATCTCTTGGGTACATCAATTCACTGTATTTTTTAATCAAGGAAGGACTCAATACCTAGTCAGCTGAAGAAGTCCCAACCACAGCCTAAGTTAACCGAGTAACCGCCTAAAAGGGTAAAAAATCAAAAAATTATGCAAATTATGCAAAAGGGTAAAACCACTAGTTCGAATCTCTTGGGGTTCATCAATTCACTATATTTTTTAATCAAGGAAGGACTCAGTACCTCTAGTCAGCTGAAGAAGTCCCAATCACAGCCTATGTGGCGCGCCACCTGTTTAAGTTAACCAGGTAACCGCCTAAAAGGGTAAAAAAGCAAAAAAATTACGTAAAGTTCCGGCATAATTGAACACAAATTATGCAAAAGGGTAAAACCGAATATTTCAGAAAAACTTAAGGGCTTTTATGACATTAGTCCTACAAAGAAAAGGGAGATATTGTATATAGAGGCGAAGGAAGGCAAGTTAGTGTTAATCCCTTCTAGTCATATCATATCATATCATACTATATTATAAAGGAAACATTTTTCCTTTCACCACATTCATTTGAAACTCTCACGCATTTTTCCTTTCACCACATTCATTTGAAACTCTCATGACTTTTCAATTTCTTTCTAATAATAATTATAAGTTGGTTAATAAGGTTAAATAAATATCAAATATAAAGTATAATCATATATAAACTAAATTTCAATATTAAAATAATATCTTTACTTCTACTTATAAGGTTATGTTTTTTTAACTTTTAACACATTATACTTTATTTATTAGTTATTATAAAGGAAACATTTTTCCTTTCATCACATTTATTTGAAACTCTCACACATTTTTCCTTTCACCACATTCATTTGAAACTCTCACGACTTTTCAATTTCTTTCTAATAATAATTATAAGTTGGTTAATAAGGTTAAATAAATATCAAACCTAAAGTGTAATCATATATAACTAAATTTCAATATTAAAATAATATCTTTACTTCTACTTATAAAGTTATGTTTTGTTAACTTTTAACATATTATACTTAACTTATTAGATTTAATATATTGTTGGATGTAAACCATTATCATTTTAAAGATGCAATTTTGGAAAAATTTGTATAAAATATTTAAATTATTAGTTTGAATATAACATTACAAGGTCAACTTAAATATAAATTTTAGTTAACTTAAACAACCCAAATAATATTTTGTAAATAGTTAAAAGTGATTAATTGTAGTGTCTTTCTAATAATGATTATAAGTTGGTTAATAAAGTTAAATAAATATCAAACCTAAAGTGTAATCATAAATATACTAAATTTTAATTTTAAAATAATATTTTTACTTCTACTTATAAAGTTATGTCTTTAACTTTTAACATATAATACTTAATTTATTAGATTTAATATGCTGTTGTATGTAAACCATTATCAGTTTAAAGCTACAACGTTTGAACAATTTGGACAAAATACTTAAATTGTTAATTTAAATATAACATTACAATGTCAACTTAAATATAAATTTCAGTTCCATTTAAAAAACCAAAAAATATTTTGTAAATAGTTAAAAGTGATAAATTGTAGTGATAAATGCAAAAACTAAATTGTAATATCAATTTAACTAAAATATTTCCTAAAGATATTTTTATAATCGTTAAAAGTTTTTCAAATAAGTAGCTTAAAATAAATTACAATAACAATAGTTAAAAATAACTCTATATAAATGATTATATTCTTACCTTTAAAATCAAAAAACAATGTTGGATGTTTTAAATAATTATAATGATAGAAATTTAAACATTAAACAAATAAATTTTAAAAAATTAATTAACAATAACAACAACTACAAATTACATTAAACCATATATTATATTTAATTTTATTCATGTGTAACTTGCAGTTATAATAGATGTATATATTATCATATAATTCAAAATAATCAATATATTATATCAATTTAGTATATATCACTACAAGGAAAAAGGCAATTTGCGGCGACAAAAGTCGCCGCTAAAGGGTCTCATTGTCGCCGGTAATAAGTCGTCGCTATTGATCAATATGTCGCCGCTAAAGGGAATTGAAACATCCCAAAAATACAGACCAAAAATTTCGTTTTCAGTTATTAATAAAACCATAGTTATCCATATCGCATGTCATAATATCTCAAACATCATATCAATGTATATCAAAATGTCAGAGTATAAACATCCCAGAGTGAACAAATGGTGTGTGCACTGCAATCATCCCGAGCCCTTCCCCTTGCTACCGGAAGTACCTGAAACCAAAACGGAAAATTGTAAGCACGAAGCTTAGTGAGTCTTCCCAAACTACCACATACCATACACATAACATGCAACTAGGAGATACGGGCCCCACCCACACACATGGAGATACAGGCCCCGCCCACACTCTGCAACTCTAAGATACGGGCCCCACCCACACTCAGCTACTACGAGATACGGGCCCCGCCCACACTCGGATACTATGACATACGGGCCCCACCCACAGTCAAATGCTATAAGATACGGGCCCCGCCCACACTCAACTACTAAACATACATACAAGTATCACACATGCAACACGTATAAATAATTCTATCAATTAGACACATATCCATAATCAAACTAAGCTATAAGATACGGGCCCTGCCCACACTCAGCTAACTGGGAGATACGGGCCCCGCCCATACTCAGCAACTAACATAATCATATTGCGGGTCGGCCTTGGTGCCGTAGACCCGTTCCTACTGAAGGAAACTCACCTTGCAAGGTTGACTGCTGAAAACTCGAGTGAGGAATCTCTGACTGCTGCTCCGACGACTCCCCAACTATCAATTTCATAATAACACTTAATCAAAATCTGATAATCATTCCTAGGGTAAAATGACCATTTTACCCCTAGTTAAAGTCAACGCTTGGGTCAAAGTCAACCTTCTGATTGACCCAACTCGTCGAGTCCTATATCCTAAAATCACGATCTAACTCGTCGAGTCCCCCCTAACTCGTCGAGTTTCCAGGCTACTCACAGTCTCGATCTACCGATTTAACTCGTCGAGTCCCTTCACCGACTCGTCGAGTTCTACCTTAAGCTAAAATAGGACAAACCACATCAACTCGTCGAGTCCCTCTATGGACTCGCCGAGTTCCCTTGTCTTATTGAGCCATCTTAATGGATTAAGCTCCAACCCTTCAGATCTAAGCTCCAAACTTCATCTACCCACTGGGAATACACTTTTAAGGGTAAAGTTTCCAACTTTACCCGCTCTTAGTCCTTCTTAATGGGTTTAGCTCAAACCCTAACTCTCTAGAACATAGATCTTGGTCCACAAGCTATAATACCCTAAACCAAGGCACAATATACTAGATCTAGGCTGTGAACATCAGTTGGACACGTAAAGTTCCTAGCTTCCCTTCCATGCATGGCCTCTTAGGGCTAAAAAGGCCATATAAGTGCTTATAAGCTTGCATAAGGCCTCCATGGTCATAAAGTTTGCACCTTTATGCCATGGAACTCCTCCTAGATCCCAAATCTGAGATATAAGTCACTTGGGACGTCCAAATCCCAAAGAACAAGGTTTTTGAACCAAAACCCTCATAACATGGAAGTAAATAGATCTAAGAAAAGAATGATCAAGTTAGAGACTTGATTACCAGAAAATGTAGCCAAAGAAGTGTAGTTTTTGGATCTACTCTCTTCCACTTGAGCCTTCTAACTCCTTCTTCTTCTCCAAGCTTCAAGAACACAAAAGATTGCTTACAAATGGTTCACACACTCACAATA